CCCCTTTTTATTACCTCCTTCCCCCCCACCATTACCTCCTCTCCCAGCTAGTTAACCCGGGATACGGATCATTCCCGGGCAGGATCTTGTAATTTGTTGGCGAGAAAACAACAGTCATTTGGTGTGTGTTTGTTCGGCCGCCGGACATTGTTGACATTCTCGACTCCCATTTTCACACCTGTAATGTCTCGCCTCTGGCTTACCTGGTCTCTTTTTACCGTGGTCCTCTGTGGTCCCTGGTGGTGTTTGGTGGTCCTCTGTGGTCTACTGTGGTCCCTGGTGGTGTTTGGTGGTCCTTGGTGGGTTTTGGTGGTCGTTCGTGGGTTTTGGTGGGTATTTTGGTGATCTTTGGTGGGTTTTGATCGTCCTTGGTGGGTTTTGGTGGTCCTCTGTGGTCTACTGTGGTCCTTGGTGGTCCCTGATGGTTCTCTGTGGTCCTTCGTGGTCCCCTGTGGTCGACTGTGACCCTTGGTGGTCTTTAGTGGTCCTTGGTGGCCCTTATCGACTACATTAGATCATTAGTACACCTGTGCTCAGAGGTCTACATACAGGTATAATAACCTTGTATGGTATGTTGGATATATTAGGATTATCATTATTTACTAAACACCAGAATGTGACGTATATGATGATGATGGCTGCTGTAACATAAACAAAGTGATGATAGTAACACCTACATCACTTAATTAATGTACCTGTAACGTAATCTTACCTTCTATAATGTCAACAGACCACATCTTTTTCCCACCTTCCTTTAGTCTCTGGGAACTGAACAGCATGATATTTTTTACGAGTTTTTATGTAAATTATTAACACATAAAAGTTAAGAGTAGGTGGTATGTTTACATTAAGGTTCGTGTGTGTGCCACTAGAGGTGTTTCTGTCGCTAGTGTTCCATACGCCCACGTGAATCCAACACTTCCCTCCACACGCCCATAAGACCACCGTTATTTCCCTCCATACGCCCATACGACTATCATCACCTCCCTTCACACGCCCACACGACTCCATTCACTTCCATCCACACACCATAAGACCACCATCACCTTCCTTCCTTACGCCCATACAACCTCCTATACTCCCTCACGCCCACACGACCCCAAGACCATCACTGTTAAAAGTTAAAATAGAATTAATTGGATGTAATCAAGACTTGGTTACGGGTAGTGTACGTGAGAGTGAGGGAAGTGAGAGGGGAGAAGAGGAAGAGGAGGAAGGGAGAGGTGAAGGGGGAGGGCGGGAGGGGGGGTGGGGGTAAGGCCAGGCACCTCACTCTCCACGGTTGAGAGAACCTCGAAATTGGGTCATTTCTCTGAAGACTGGGGTCGACCGGCACTTAACTCTAGCGTTGGTTGGGGAGGAAGGTGATGGGGAGGAACGTGGGAAGGAGGGTGGTTTGGGAGGGCGGCGGGGGTGGGAAGAGATGGGGAGGAAGAGGGTAGGGAGGAAGGTGGTTGAGGAAAAGGGTAGGTGATGAAGAGGGTAGTTGGGGAGGAAGGTGGGGAGGTTGGGGAGGTGATGGGGAGGAAGGTGGGGAGGCGGGAGGTGATGGGAAGAAGGTTAAGGAGGGATTCAGGGGGGACACAGTTGAGGGGGTGAATAGGGAGTTCCCCTTTAGAATGGGGAGAGAAGCGAAGATAAGAAAATAGAGGTAGAAAAATAGGAAGGGGAAAAAAGAGGGGAGGGAGAGGAGGAGGGGAAGGAAGGAGGAATACTGGTAGAAAGGGGAAAAATAAGACGTGGGGGAGAGGAGGAGGGAATAGGAAACGTGTGATAAATGTAAAACAGAAGGAAAGAGGAGGAGAGGGAAGGTGGAAGAGCGGTGGTGGGAGTCAGGAGAGAGAGAGAGGGAGGGTGGGAGAGAGATAGGGGGAAGGAAAGAGAGAAAGAGGGGAAGGAAGGAGAAAGAGAGAGAATTCAAAGGATAGATAAGGATATGGAGATGGAGAGGAAAAAGAGAGAGGAGGAGAGAGATAGAGGGAAGGAAAAGAAAGACAGACAGACAGAATATCAAAATACAATAGAATCAAGAAAACACAAAAAATTAAGTCATGGGTAAATTAAGTGGAAAATTTCACTAAACAATCAGATACTTTGATAATTATTGATCTTCTATGAGTCCTGAAAATACAACTTTATTTTGGTCAACAAATTCTATCTCTTTCCCCCATGTATATAAGCAACAACATCATAAGGCCGAACACAACAACAGACTCCTAAAACCCAGTCATATGTAACCCTCTTCATCTTCTTCCTTCTCCTTATATTTCCGGTCCTTCCCAAGTCTCTCCCGTTCCGACTAATATTGGCTCTGTTCTATGTTTCTTTGGGCGATAAAACGTTTTGACAAATTAGATTATTAGAGTAGGCACCGCTTGACTTGAATGGAGACGCCAAGTTCTGCTCTCCATATTGGAACAATTTATCATGGGTAAGAGCGTGTCTGAACCCCACCAGTGTGACTGTGGCTTTAGCTTCGGAAGATCACATTTTCCTCCTAATTTGCTGTTCACAAGTTTTTATTTAAAGTTATTTATTTACTTAGCGAATTATTAATATTATAAATGATATTGAAGTAGAGTTTAATGAAAATGTGGTTAAATATCACAATACTAAACCCAAGCCGGTAGGGACAGCATACGGAGCCGACAAGTGTAGTTGGCCAAGCGCACAGGGAACATGAAAACACAATCGAGCTGTACAATATCCTCGCCGCTGAGAATAAATTGAGCTAACTTTTTAAATGTTGCAATGGAAATGCGTCGCGGCTGTAGACTTCAGGAGACCAATAAATCTGAGTAAATGGACTGGTCTCAACTTGGTGGAGAGAATGTCGGGAGGAAGGGAGACGCGGGGGGAGGAGGGAAAATATGGTTCCCAGACTTCATGGAAATTGTTTTTGGAAGACTGTTATGGCTGAGTCGGGATTTAGGAGGACGGATGAAAAGAATAATAAGATGAATATTACCCGGGGAAAGACGGTGTAATTATGTCTCTCTCTCTCTCTCTCTCTCTCTCTCTCTCTCTCTCTCTCTCTCTCTCACACACACACAGTATATATTATTTCTGGCCTGCAGTTTCCGTCTATGTTTGTATTATTATTATTGTTTGGATAATATTGAACTAATATATACATTTAAAACAAACTTTATATACAATAAAGACTTCAGATTTTGTTGACAGATTTTAACACTGACGAAAAAATCTGGTTTATTTTTTAACGTTATTTTTAGTTTACATTTGTATATTTTATTTTGACGTTGACGGATTACGACTTACGGAAAATGACTTGTTGCCCACTCACTCTCCCTCTCTGTAGAGTGAAGGAGGTAGGGAGAGACCCACTTACTCTCCCTCTTTGTAGGGTGAGGGAAGCCCACTCACTCTCCCTCTCTGTAGAGTGAAGGAGGCCCCCTTACTCCCCCTCTCTGTTGGGTGAGAGAGGCCCACTTACTCTCCCTCTTTGTAGGGTGAGGGAAGCCCACTCACTCTCCCTCTCTGTAGGGTGAGGGAAGCTCACTCACTCTCCCTCTCTGTAGGGTGAGGGAGGCCCACTCACCCTACCTCTTCTAATCCCTGTATGTAAACTCTATTCCCAATTTCAAGCTCTATTCTTATCCACTATTTTAAGCCCTATTTCTGTCCCTACCTCCCCCTTGGCCCCAGCGTGAAGGTGAGGGCCAGTGGTTACATAACTTCCACTAGGCGCTCACAGCCTGGCCACACGAGGGAGGAGGCAGTCCTTCATAATATTGACTGTTGGTAACCCTCCTCCTCCTTCTTGTCCCCCTTCACTCCTCCTCCTCCTCCTCGTCCCCTCCTCCTTCTTTCTTGTCCCCTTCCTCCTCCTTCTACACCACCTCCCTCCCTTCTTCTGCATCGCACTCCCGATCTCTTCCTTTCCCGTCCCTTCTTCATCCCCTCTCCCAGCATCTCTCCCTCCCCTCTTCCATCACCCCACCATGCACACACACATATACTGTACACTCACATTTCCTCCTCCTACGCCCATCTTCCTCATACCAATGCCTCCACCCACTCCCACACACCCTCATTCCCCACGCCTACGCTCCATACACATGCTCCTCATACTGACATTTCCCACACCCCCCTTGCTCTCATTACCCACTCTTACGTTCCCCACGCCCACGTTCCCCACGCCCATCCTGCCCATATCCAGCACACGCCCCCTCCGTAATTCTTGTAGTCAGCACAGTCAAACTCGCCAAGGGAGTTTGATTGTGGCTGCCTGAGTGTGTGTGTGTGTGTGTGTTTGTGTATGTGTGTGTGTGTCATGGCCGTCACTGGGAGGTGTCATATCCGCCGCCATGTTTGTGGTCACTTGTCATGTCATGTCTTTCTCCTGGATATTGATCTACTCTCTCCCTTCTCCCTGGCATACTGTTTCTCCCTCTCCCTTGCATACTGCTTCTCCTCCCTGGCATACTGTTTCTCCCTCTCCCTGACATACTTACCCTCTCTCTGGTGTACCACAGATAGGCTATATTCCAGTAAGTGATTGGATATATTACATCATACGATTAGGTATGTCACGGTAAGAGAATTACCTCCCCCTCACCACTAGTCAGCGCCACACAGCGGGTATTTCCTGTAATGACAACAGATACCAAGTATTTCCCTACCTCCTACATCTTCCTTATTTTCTCTTATTCTTGATTAATCCTTCTCTGTTCTTCCATATTCTCTCCTGTTTCTTATTATTCCTTATTCTCCCCTATTCCTTTGTATTATATGTCTTTTATATCATTTCAATAGTTGTGTTTATGGAGTTTTGTGATATCATTGACGGTCGTGTTATCGTAGCCTCAGAGGATAATATTCTGGGGTAATATATCATGAACGTTTTTATTTAGAGGAATTGTTGAATGAAAATATGTTAAAATTCACATTAATTTTAATTATGTAAAATATAAGAATATAATAACAGTATTTTGACTATGTACAAATAAATATACATGGATATCATAATATACATAAGATCTATACATAAGCGGCTGTTGGCGTATACATTATGGACTATACATGAGCAGCTATCACAGGGGGCGTTGACACATCCGGCGACGAAGTCAGAGGTTATGGGTGCCAGGGGTCGTGACCTATCATACTGTCCTCACGGGCGGGGAGAACCTGTAGGTGTTTTCTTTGTCTCCCGACGGCGGCTTGGCCATGGTGGACGACAGGTCAATAGGTTGGTTGTGGTCGTACTTGGGCTGCTCCAGCTTGGCGAGGGAGTGCATGGCATCGTATAGGTTGAGGGCGTGGTCGTAGAGTGGGCGTGGCTGCTGCTGGAGGGCGTGGACGAGAGGCGTGGGGTAGACGGGAGTGGGAGCCACCAGATTCATGGCTAATGCTGCTGAGTACTCGTACAGGTGAGGTAGTGGAGGCGGAACACAGGTGGGACATGAGGCACAGTTAACCCCGCCCATGCCTGGCTGGTGGGCGTGATGGGGGTGGGCATGATGATGAGCCACGCCCATGGGCTGCAGGTAGGGTTGCATGGCTGCGGGTTCGGGCGTGGGGCGGGCGTCGCTGGTAGCCAGGTTCTCTATAGTGAAGGCCTGGCGCTTAGGTGGGGATGGGGCAGCCAGGGGCTGCAGGTGGGCCAGGTGGTGACCCAGCTCCTGCACGATGTGGCCCAGGTCACGGGGCACCACCATGCCCGCCCCCGCCTCCTCCTGCCGCTGTACTTCACCACCGAAGGACGTCATGCCAGTCTCGATGGCGTCCTTATCGTCCTTGGGGATCTTGAAGCGCTTCCTGCGGCGGAGGAAGCTGCCGTTCTCGAACATGTTCATGGCGGACGGGTGCAAGGTCCAGTAGGCGCCCTTGCCGGGCCTGTCGGGGCGACGGGGGATCTTGATGAAGCAGTCGTTGAAGGAGAGGTTGTGTCGCAGCGAGTTCTGCCACCGCTGAGTGTTCTTGCGGTAGTAGGGGAAGTTGTCCATAATAAACTTGTAGATCTCCGCCAGTGTACACATCTTTTCCGGGCTGCCCCAGATGGCCATGGCGGTCAGGGATATGTACGAGTACGGCGGCTTCTGGTCCCCGTAACTCTCACGTGAAGGACGCGGCATCCTCAATTCTCACGTACACAAACAGTTCCAGAAGTCTCACTGTGATAACAAGTCCAGGTTTTAGTGCCGCTCTTCCTGCCGCTACACGTCTTGGAAGGCGGTGATGGTGCAAGTGTGGAAGGCCCGCCAACTTCACACCTTTAAGTCACCCGAGCTGTCGACACCTGCCCAATGGACGGCCGACATAAACGCTTCTGGCGACCGTGATTGGATGGATGGCCGGCGGGCGGAGCAGACCCCGAGTTTTTGCCCCGCTGATAGGACAAGGGCAGTGGGGGGCGGAGCGTCCACTAGGGATGGGAGAGAGACGCGGCGAGATGTTTGATGTTTACGGAGCTGACCAGATGTTTTAGTCTCTCAGTAACGTCAATTGTTTCCCTTACTCCACACACACACACACACACACACACACACACACACACACACACACACACACACACACACCTGGCCAAAAGACGTTAAAGAATTACCTAAACCAGCCCACATATTTCCCTGCCCTGGTCGAGTCTCCTGATTATATAAGAAATAATATCAAGTGTCACATATTTACAATATTCTCCTGAAATTATTATACTCCAGATATAATTCATATATAATTACACTATTTATGATGCAGTTAAGATAATAATCATTGGTTTTGATATATGTCCTGTATATATATGCGTTAATTTATACAGTGTACAGTAATGATCATGTTATAGGCAGCTCTGTTTCCATCCAACATTTAACAATCATGTATCTGTCTAACTTTTATTTAGTAACTTATTCTACTTTATTTCTGTACCAATTTTCACCTATTTTCTTCCTAAATCTAAGTATCTCTTGACTTAAAACCCAATTTATGTGTTTTGTCTTGATTTAATGATAGTTTAAGTACCATTGTTATATCACCTTATTTAATCCCATCTTCCATTTATCTCACCAGGATCAAGTCGCCCCTTACTCTGCCTCAGTTTACCTCTCTTCAATTTACTTTTCTTAATCTGGTACTATAGGGAAGGTTCAATATGCTTCAATGTAAACAGCCTTAACAACATCAACGTAGAGAAGTCGACATGTAAAAGAGACTTAGGGGTACTTGTAAGCCCGGACCTACGGCCTAGAAAACAGTGCGTTAATGTTCGAAATAAGGCAAACAGAGTATTGGGTTTTATATCTAGAAGTGTAAGTAATAAGAGTGCAGAGGTCTTATTGCAACTATATCTTTGCAGGCCGCACCTCGATTATGCGGTTCAGTTCTGGTGCCCTTATTATAGAATGGATATCAATTCACTAGAGTCGGTGCAGCGAAGAATGACGAAAATGATTCCGGGACTTAGAAACCTTCCATATCAGGATAGGTTAAAGAAACTAAACTTGCATTCCCTAGAAAGACGAAGAGTGCGGGGAGATATGATAGAAGTATTCAAGTGGGTGAAAGGAATCAATAAAGGGGATATAGATAAAGTTCTTATAATATCCGAGCAGGATAGGACTCGTAGCAACGGATTTAAGTTGGATAAGTTTAGGTTTAGGAGGGAGATAGGAAGGAACTGGTTCACGAATAGGGTGGTGGACGAGTGGAACAAGCCTAGCAACTTTGTAGTAAGTGTTGGAACGCTGGAAAGTCGTAAAAGTAGGCTAGATAGATTCATGGATGATAGAGAGTGGTAGTAACTCTCGACAGGAGCTGCCATGCACAGGCCAACTGACCTATTGCAGACTCCTTATGTTCTTATGTTCTTAGTCGTTGTCGATTCCTTCTTACCATCACCCATAAACTTTAATTACAATCGGACTTCTCTCTCTGTTGGTGAGGTGGTGGCTGCTGGTTCCCTTATTTCACTATTTTAACCTCAAAGCTTTATTTTTTCTCTTTATTAATCATTTATTGTTTAGGACTTAATGTAAAACCTTCCCGGTCTACATGTGAATTAAAGTATATGTCCTATTATAGTGTGGGGAGTAAATAGTGTTTCTGTCAATGATGTTTATGTAGGTTTATGTAATGAATATTTAACATTAGTTACAGTTATTATGGCGTTAACAGACTTATTATTATTGGTGTGTGTGGTTGTATATTTATAATTTATTTATGTAATGAATAATTAGCCTCAGATACAGTGTATAATACAAATAATTTACTAAACTTAGCACACACACACACACACACACACACACACACACACACACACACAGTTAAGGGAACATGACCACTACCTCTACTCTTAATAGTTATAATGGAAGACTTACAATGAGGGGCGGGGAAGAGCGGCCCAATTAACCCCGCCGAGGTCAGGTGAGGTCACTGACGGTCACTGGGCGGGACCTTCACACCTTGACCTTGTGACGTGACCGTGTGTGTGTGTGTGTGTGTGTGTGTGTGTGTGAGAGAGAGACATTCTTTCTCTCAAATAATATATTTTTCTGGAAATAATTTTCATGACAAACACAAACACGCGTTAATTCTCTGCCTGTCCTGCCTGCCTGCCTTGCCTGCCTGCCCGCCTGCCTGCCGCCCGCCGCCCGCCCGCCCGCCCGCCTCTCTCTCTCTCAATATCACCAGCGCACGGCCAGGCCAGAAATAACTGAAGTAATATACAGCACGGCAGCAATAGACCACTATACCGCCGCCAATGGGGAAAAAAATACGTTTTAACTGCAAATTGAGGTTTGGAAAGCGAAGTTTAAGCCAATATCTCCCTTCATTAGACACGCTCCCTCCCTCTGTCCGATTCCCTCATTGTGGCTTCGAATCTCTTAGTAGGGTTTCGGATTATAGATTTTACTCTCTAAATGTAGGATCTCGTTAAGGAACAAATGGATGGAGTTGAGTATTTTTTTGTTGATTAATGAGAAAGTTTTTGTGAGATTGGAGGAGTTGTAAGTCGTATGGTTTGGTAATGTGGTTCGGACACGTTCCATTCCCCCAAATTGGCTGGCTATTGTTGTGCCTCTGGATGGGTTCTGTTTTAAAGTCGTTAAGGACCTAATTCTGACCTCAGTATTGTTCAGGGGTAAGGGGGTGGCATAGTTGGAGAGGGGGCGGCATAGCTAGGAAGGGGAGAAGGGACGGCATCGGTGTGGAAGGGGGAGGGGGTGGTACAGCTGAGGATGGTTAGGTTAGGTTAAGTTAGGTTAGGTTTGGTTATGCCTGTATAATCATTTACTATACCTATACTGTAGTGTATTATAACCTCTCCAGGTACGTAAGAGGTGTGTCTTTACCTGTACATTCTCACCTGTGTGTCACTCTGTTTAGAACAACGGACCAGCAGCACAGTGAACACCTGACACGCCAGATAGGGGTGGCGTTAACTCATGAGTGCAGCTGTGAGTGACTGTGAATGGTGCATGAGTGACTGTGTGAGTGGTGCATGAGTGACTGTGTGAGTGGTGTATGAGTGACTGTGTGAGTGGTGCATGAGTAACTGTGTGAGTGGTGTATGAGTGACTGTGTGAGTGGTGCGTAAGTGACTATGTGAGTGGTGTATGAGTTACTGTGTGAGTGGTGCAAGAGTGACTGTGAATGGTGTATGAGTGACTGTGTGAATGGTGCATGAGTGACTGTGTGAATAGTGCATCAGTGATTGTGTGGAATGGTGCATAAGTGACAGGTGTGAGAGGTGCATGAGTGACTGTGAATGGCGCATGAGTGAGTGTGTGGAATGGTGCATAAGTGACAGGTGTGAGTGGTGCATGAGTGACTGTGAATGGTGCATAAGTGACAGGTGTGAGTGACGCATGAGTGACTGTGGGTGGTGCATAAGTGGCAGGTGTGAGTGGTGCATGAGTGACTGTGAATGGTGCATAAGTGACAGGTGTGAGTGACGCATGAGTGACTGTGAATGGTGCATAAGTGACAGGTGTGAGTGGTGCATGAGTGACTGTGAATGGTGCATAAGTGACAGGTGTGAGTAGTGCATGAGTGACTGCGTAAGTGGTGTATCAGTAACTGGGTGAGTGGTGCATGAGTGACTGTGTGAGTGGTGTATCAGTAACTGTGAGTGGTTCATCTTCAGGTGGGCACCTGTTACTAATTATTACATACAAAGATACAAAACTGCGGATTTGATTATGAAAGAAATAGAAAGAAATTATAATGGATGTTGGATAAAGTACAAAGCATTTTATCAATCCCGTTTAGTCTCCTCAAGTCTGGCCAGGTGGAGGTGTGAGTCAGGGCTCCCAATTAACACCTTGTGGAGAAGAGGTGAGATGAAGGTGTTCCCCGCCCTCACCTGACCTACCTGTCTGTGACGTCATTCACCAGACTCTCCCAGACTGCGTGGCGCCAGGTGCGGTGGTGCCAAACCTCTCGAATACCACTTAGTTTTACGGTAATAATAAGAATATTTCATGTAATTACTTAATAAAATTAACTAAAACGATCATATTGTTACTAAATACTGTTATTTAAAGGATTAATTTAGCCTTATTCATTAATTAACGCATTTTATATCTCGATATTTAGAACAGTGATATTGTATTTACTATGGCGTTAATGTGGGAACTGTTTACACCTCCCTGGTATAAAAAACAACTTTGGGTGAAACTCATTACGTAGTATAGACTTATAACCAGTAGTGATTAGACTACGAGGAGAGTTTGGTGACAGTGGCGCGATAATGAGGCTGATAAGTTAAGTGGTCTCCCAGGAGCTGCTGAAATAGTTGACGCATCCCGCCCATTATTTGCTGTCTATCTGTCTCTCTTTCTCTGTCTCTATCCTTCTGTTTCTCTGTCTATCTCTCTGTCTCTCTTTAGCCGCGCATGTCGATCTTCACCTGACGATAATCCCGCTGCCTTGTGGGAGGACCATCATGGCGGCTACATCAAAATAAACCGGAAAGCGGATTAGAATATTTCTTCCTTTTTATCCACCCCAGTTAATAACCAAATTGTTCTGGGCGTCGCTGGTCAGAGCTTATCTCATTAGCAAAGTGTTGAGGGATACCCGCGGGAATAGGGCAGTTATAGCTGGGATTAACCCTTCATTTGACCTCCCGTAAATGACCTGGGTAATGCCGTGATGTCACCAGCCCACCGCCCGCCACCTCTAGACTGCTTGGCGCCTTGGTGGTACTGTTGGGGGAGATTGTCAGGTAAGTGTGTTATGACGGTGTTATTTTTGTTCATATTTCGTTGCTATGGAGAACGCTTAGTCGTCATATAGGGGCAGTATAGGAGGAAAATATCATCAATATTATAGCAACTTTTATAAGCTTGTAAAAGATGCTAGGTAATATATTGTCATATAAACATAAACTACGTTATCATGAGGTATAGAGCGCCTGAATATGTCTCTGTTTAGCCTCTTAAAACTGAAACTGAATGTCCCAATCACCCCAGACGAACCTATTAATGCCATTCCTCCTTGGCTGGATATATCAGTTCCTAATAGTTACACTCCTGTTGGTAGTAAGCAAATGTTAAACACCGATGTGGTGAGATGTGTCACACTAGAAACTATTAACAGACACATAGAGAGTATTAAATCAAGTGAATGTTATGCTTTTACTGATGGTTCTGTGCAGACAAACACAGGTAGAACAGGCTGTGCAATTGTAGTATATAAAGAAAAAGAGATGATAGTGTCAAACAAACAAAGGCTGAACAACTGGGCCAGCACAACACAAACTGAACTAACTGGAATCTACCTAGCCACAGACTACCTCAAAGAAAATGGAGGTGGGGTGATATCCTGTGACCCTCAAAGTGCTTTGAAATCAATGAACAGCCCGTCAGGCTTTATGTCTAAAGTTGCATGTGATATTAAAAGGAATGTGATAACTGCCAATGAGAACAACTTTCGTATCGAATTTGTGTGGATTCCGTCCAATGTTGGAATCAGGTATCATGACCGTGCTGATAGACTGGCCAATGAGGCATGTAAGAAAGAAAATGTTGACCGTGACCTTGGTCTGTCCAATGCTGTAATTAAAAACATTCAAGTCAGAATCATGAACTCTGATCTAGAAGAAGTGAGAAATGCAGAGAGACCTGACAGTTGTAGCATTAGTAAATATGACAAATTTTGTAACACGAGTTACCGGTATGGCCAGCATAAGGACAGAACCAGACAATGTGATGTAGTCGTGGCCAGAATTAGGCTAGGATACAGACACATCTGGCAAGTTAGTAACGCTGTACCCATACCGGAACACTCAGCATGTAAACTTTGTGATAAACTCTTAAAGCATACACTTGAACACTATATTATTAAATGTGACATTGTCAAAGACTTCAGGCCACCTGACTTATTGTATATTGAACTATGTAATTACTTCATTGAATCAGGTGTGATTGAGGACATTCTTGCTGTTTATCCCAAATTTGCTGCTGGCCCACACTGATTAGTCTTCAATTAGAATGACTCCAATGTATGTGATCCACTGACCTATATATGCTGCTGGTGAATGTGATGTATTTCCTTCTTTGTGTACGAACCTCTGTCCTTCGTGGCAGTGAACAGTGGCATTACCCACATGAATCTGTCCTATATATAGTGTCAATGAATATGATGCATTCTTTGTGTACGAACCTCTGTCCTGTATGGCAGTGAAAAGTGACATTACCCACATGAATCTGACCGACGTATATGTATGTGTGTGTGCGTGTGTGTATGTATATGTACATGTACATGTATATGTGTATGTATATATGTATATGTATGTATATGTGTGTGTGTGTGTGTGTTTACATATATGTATATGTACTGTCAATGAATATGATGCATCTCTTTGTATACGAACCTCTGTCCTGCATGGCAGTGAACAGTGACATTACTCACATGAATCTGACCTCTATACATTTATAGCTGTTAATGAATATGATGTATTTCTTTGTGTATGAACCTCTGTCCTGCGTGGCTGTGAGAAGTGATACCACCCTCAGTGTCAAGACCTGACTGAATTACTCAGAATAGGCAAACTGTACTACAAGCTCTGCCAATAAATTTGTTAAACTTAAAAACTCTTAAATTTTAGCTTTGTTATACTGTATTACACGCGAACTTTCAGAGGCGACCCTATGGACGAGAGTCTTTGCGTGTTATCCCTTTAAGAGTGAAATATTTACGTTTTCTTCATTTTACAAATGTATTTGTTTTCTGTAACAGTGAGTCACGAGTTAGTGGATGACACTACCAAATTGTGTGTCATATTAAAGCTACATTGCGAGGGACAGGATAGATAACTGATAGAGTTGGGAGATAAGATGGCTGGATGGGATTGGGGAGACAGAATAATTGATGGGGTTGAAAGATAGGATAGCTGGGTATGATTGGGAAGACTAAATTCTTTCTTTCTTTCTCTCTTGTCACATCGTTGTGGTGTCTTGGCAGCAACAGTTTGTACAGTATCTTTCCCAATGAGATATCTGATATTGTACATGGAGACCTTTATGTTATAGAGAAGGGCGTTTAGAGCCTACCATCTACTGAACACGCATTTGTCCACCATGTAGAGCGAGCTACACTATCGTAAAATCATGTATTTGGGTCAAGGCTGATCAAGTTTAGTTGGGTGTTAGATGATAAAGTCAAACCACTGTTGACCACAGTTTCACCAGTACCAGGAATCCTTACTGCATCTTCGTACTGTAGGTGCAAGGGACACTGGTTGTATATATCTGTGCCGTCAACATAGGTAGTGTGAATTCATGTGTACACGTGGTGGCAAACCAGAGTCATGTCCAAATATGTTAGTTTCATATATGGACATGGATAATATTTATTTGTGAGTCATTAAGCTGGAAATAATATTTCTTGTTAATTGTAGATTATAATGCATATGTGGCACCTGACAGTAGTACGTAACACAGGTAATGCCATTCAATAAAATCCTCCATATTTCATATCAGATAATGTTGAGTATTAGATGTTTGGTTGTGCCTCCCCCTACCCCTCCCTGTAACTTGTGATCAACCACTAAACACCGTAATGAATCTTAAGGCTCCTCCAGTCAAATTTAAGTTCTGTACCTTCACCTTAAACTGTCTCTAGCCAACATAATCTACTGAAAAGAACCTTAAAACCTTCTGCAACTCATCGTGTTGGGTACCACTCAAAAAACAAAATTGAATCTCCGACTACTAGTACTGATAGCAGTGGTGAGAGACAAGAAGTAAACAAACATTTGGACGATTCGGTAATTACCGTCCACCTTGGAGTAGATCCGGTACACCAAGGCCTGTTATAGTTTTAAGTACAATAAGTTACTATTTTGTAACTACTTGTTTAGCTCAGCCTTAATTAATTCTGGTTAAAGCACCAGGGATGATGGTAATAACTATGGCAGGATCACCGTGATGAAATCTAATTGGTGACTCTTTCTTCCAGGAGATGTCGCCACCAGTATCTTGCAGTGTGTTGACGTGCTGAGTCCGGAAGCGTCAATTTGGCTTCGTGAAGCTGTATTCTTCTCCTCATGAAAAATCATAAAAGATTGTGGTATTTTATTATCCTGATTCTTATGCTTTATAGGTTGTTATTTCACTTAAGAAAGCTAATTTCACATAAAATGGTGTTTAGCTCAAGCATTTGAAAACCATTTTCAGCATTTCGGAGACACCGAGATCTCTAATACCCAGGGGCTGAGCCCTAAGGGGCCTTACCAGGGGCGGCGCCACCAGGGGGCCTCCCTGGGGTAGTGCCCCCAGGGACTCTTCCAGGGACGACGCCTCAAGGGGCCCTACCAGGGGCATTGCAAACAGGGGCGGCGCCCTTAACCTTCCCAGGGGTGTCGTCACAAGAGAACTTCTCAGGGGAGGCGGCGCCCCCAGGGACCCTCCAAGGAGTAACGCCACCAAGGAACCTCCCAGGGGCAGCACCCCCAGGGCCCTTTACAGGCGCAACGCCAACAGGGACCATCCCAGGGGCGGCGCCTCCAAAGTTCCTCCCATAGGCAGAGCCCCCAGGGGCTCTCTCAGGGGCGGCGGCGACCATAGAAACCCTCCCAGGTGCGGCGCCCTTAGAGCCCCTCCAAGAGGTGGCCCTCCCAGGGCCGGTACCCCAAGGGACACACTCAGGGACGGTGGCGCCCCCTGCAGCCATCCAAGGGGCAAGGCCTCCATGGAACCTCCCAGAAGGCAGCACCCCAAGGGACCCTCCCAGGGGCGGCGCCTCCAAGGTTCCTCCCAGGGACGGCGCCCCCAGAAACCCTCTCAGAGGTAGTGATGCCCTCTGGTTCCCTCCCAGGGGAGGTGGTGCCCCTAGGAACCCTCCCAGAGGCGGAGGCGTCCTCAAGAACCCTACCAGGGGCCGCGGCGCCCCCTACGAACATCCTAGGGGCGGACCCTCCGGGGTTCATCACAGGGGCTGGGCCTCCAAGGTTCATAACAGGGGCGGGGCCTCAAGGGCTCCTCCCAGGGGCAGCGCCTCCAGGAACGGAGAAGGCACCAGGGACCCTCCCAGGGAAGCCACCGCTCTTGGGAGGGTCCCTGGGGGCTCCGCCTCCCTTGGAAGTGTCCCTGGTGTACCCCGCCACACTTGTATTTACTCTGGGGCCCCTGCCGCCCCTGAGAGGGTCCCAGAGGTCCCCCGCCGCCCATGGGAGGGTCCCAGGGGCACCCACCTCCTCTACGCGCGTCCCTGGGCTCCCGCCCTCTCTGGGAGGATCCCAGGAGCCCCCGCCGCCTCTGGGAAGGTGCCTGGGGCCCCTGCTGCCTCTGAAAAAGTCCCAGGAACACCCCGCCTCCCCTGGGATGTCCCTGGTGCCCCAGCTTGCCTCTGGAAGGGTCCCCGCCGCATCTGGGAGGGTCCCATGAGCCCCCGGTGCCCCTTCGTACCTTGAAGGGTCCTACGGGCAGCTGTCGCTCATGGGAAGGTCTCAGGGGCTCCCGCCGCGTCTGGAAGTGACCGCGCCGCACCTGGGAGGGCTCCAGGGGTCACAGCCGGCTCTGCGAAGGTCCCTGGGGCCCCGCCGCCCCTAGGAGAGTCTCTGGGACCTCTACCTCACATGGGAAGGTCCCAGGAGCTTCCGCCATTTCTTGGGAGGATCCTGATACCTCCGAGAAGGTCCCAGGGGACCCCGCCACAACTGGGAGGGTTGCAGGGGAGCTGCCGCCCCTGGGAGGGTCACAACAACCCCCGCCACCCCTGAAAGGGTCCCCGCCGCTTCTGGGGGGGGGGTCCAAGGGCTAGCGGGGACCCCAGGGACCCTAACAGGGGCGGTGGGGGCCCGTGCGACCCTCCAAGGAGAGGCGCATGCCCCTGAGACCTTCCCATGTGCGGCATTGGCTCATGGGACACCACCAGGGGTGGCAGGGGTCCCAGCGACACTCCCAGAGGTGGATGGTGTCCCTTGTCAATTTCACAGGGGGGCGATAGTCCCAGGGAACCTCCCAGGGTAGGCAGCTTCCCCTGGGACACTCCCAGGGGTGGTGGGGGGTTCCTGGCACACTGTCATTTGCAGCAGGAGCCCTTGGGACCCTCATAGAGGTTACGAGGGCCCCTAAGAGTTCCCCAGATGCGACAGGGGCACCTGGGACCCTCACAGGCTCGGCGGGGCCCCTGCGACGCTCCCGGAAGCTGCTAGTGACCCCATTGACCATCTAAGGGGCAATGGGGGCCCCTCGGACCCACCCAGGTGCAGTGAGTTCCTCTCAAAGGCGTCTAGGATACCAGCCACCTTCGCAGGGGCGTCGGGGGCCCTCAGAAACTTCCCGCGAGCGACAGGAGCCCCTGTGACAGTCGCAGGGGCAGCGGGGACCCCAGGGACCCTCCCAGGGTCGGCGGAGCCCTTACGAGGCTCACAGGGGCTGCTAGGAACCACATTGACCCTCTTAGGAGCGGCAGAGGCCACTGGGACGCTCACTGGTGCGGTGAGGAGCCTCTCTAGGGCGTCGAGATCCCCAGGCACCCTCCAAGGGGCGACGGGGACCATTGGGACCATCCCGCGAACGAGGGGAGCCCCTCTGACAGTCGCAGGGGCAGCAAGGACCCTCCCAGGGGCGGTGGGGTTCCTTGGGACCTTCCAAGGGGCTGTGGGGGCCCCTGACATCCACCCAGATGCAACGGGGACCCTCCCAGACGCGGCCCGAGCCCTTGGGACCTTCCCATGGCCCGCATTGGCTCATGGAACACTCCTAGGTGCGGCGAAAACCATACGGGGGAGGCGGGGAAACCTGAGACACTACCAAGGCGAATGGAGGCCCCTGGTCAATTCACCGGGGGGTTGGTGCCCCCAGGGTAGGCAGCTTCCACCTGAGACCCACCCAGGGACGGCAGATAGCCCAAGGGCGGCAAGGACCCCATGGAACCTCTGCGGGGCGACTGGGGCCCGTGGGACCCTTTCAACATTGGCGCTAGCCCCAGGGACCCTCCCAAAGACGGTGCAGGCCCCTGGGACATTCCAGGAACCGCACTTCCAGGGGCCTTATAGCATACTTGGTCATGGCGTCATACATATTACATACGTCCATCAATTCCTTACTTAAATGTGATTGGTGGACTAAAATATATAACCACCAAATAACAGCCAATAGGAGAAGAGAACAGTCAGTCAGCACAACACCCCAACTTATGTTTTCCTGTTGGATATTACTCTCCATTCCGTTGTTAAGGAAGCGATAATACTGAAAATGTTATGATGGGCGTTGTATTCGCATCTACCAGAGTTCTAAATAGCACAAAAACAACTGCCTCCAGGGACCCTCCCAGGTACGGCGGGGACACTCCCCAGGGTGGCACAGGTCCCATGGATCCTCCCAAAGGCGGTGGGGACCTCTGGGACACTCCAGGGACCGTACTTCCAGGATCCTTATAGCATACTTGGTCGTGGCGTCATACATATTACATACGTCATTAATTCTTTACTTAAATGTGATTGGTGGACTAAAATATATAACCACCAAATAACAGCCAATAG